CCCCGGGCGCGGCGCGCGAGGCGACGGCTGCCGAACCCGCGCCGGCGCGCTCGCAGGCCCAGAAGAGGCGCGCGCACGTCGCGTAGACTGGGGTCGTCTGCGACAGTTTCTTCGCCGACGGAGACGACGGCGTCGGCATCGGCGCCCCAATCGACACCGGCTGCTGGGAGTGCCCCCCGCGCTGGCGACGCCGCGCCGGCGTCGCCAGCGGCTGCTGGCGCAGGCGAGCTTGGCGCCGCCCCCGGCGCAGCTGGGCCCACGCCATGACAGATCGATCCGGCCACGGCGCCACGGGCGCCCAGAACCTGATCTCGCGCAGGCGCCCCCGAAAGGAAGGCGCGCCGTCGGGCAGCTTGGACCGCCGAGGCGAGGTTACCTGGCGCCCCTTCGACCGCGTGCCCGAAACGCCGCAGCGGGCCAGTCATGCGCGCGAGCTGCTGGGCGTTCGCGGGGCAGGCCACGCCGCGGCGTTGCGAGATCACATTCGCTTGGGTGATCGAAGCGCCAACGGCGCGCAGCCGAGGCCCTCGTAGCCGATCATGAGTCGATCAGCTTGCTGTGCCCAGTTGCAGACGTCGGACCTCGCGAGGGGGTTGTCGACTGCGGTGGTCGGTTGCAGTTCAGCAATGCCGACGCTGGCGCTCCTCGTCGCTCAGCAGGCCCCGCCGCTCGGCCAAACTGCGAACCGGGAAGGTCATCGGCGGCGCTGGGTCGCCGTTGATGACGCCTCCTGGATCAGGACAGCCGGCGGCCGTTCCCCCGCGCGCTCGCGCTCCATGCCGGCGAGGCACGGCGAAACGTAGGCAGCCTAGCGAAACTCGTGGAGGGCTGAGTTCGCCACTGACCAGGTCACCACTTCGCGCGGCCATTTCTGGAAGGGCACTCGAACATGCCGTTCGGCCCCGAGGTGCGGAGGTGTCGCATGCCGCCGCTGCCTCCACCTGCGCCTATGCAGGAGATGCAGCTGGCGATGGCAACCATGTCCATTCCGATGGCCGTCCATCCGGAGCGTAGCTCCCTCCACGTGTCGCAGAGGCGATGGAGGCCGGGGATCAACCAGCGGCGCTGCTCGGAACGTGTGCTTCCGAGCCACTATGGATACTTGCCCCGGATGTGTTCCTCCACGTTTGCGTATTGGGCGCTTGTTGCTGTCGCGCGGACGCAGCCCTCTCGGCGCCCAGACCATCCCGTGACGCACCCAAGGGCATGCTTCTCATAAGTCGCGTCGCCGCTGCACTAAGCACCGGCAACTGCACGACCGTCTAGAGGAATGCCCATCGGCACCCAATCCTGCCAGGCTGCTGGGAACGCGTGGGCAGGGTGAAGTCGCGCACCCAAAGACAAAACTCCAGTTCTCCAAAATCTGTTTTTTGTCCCTCGAAACGCCGGTGATATAATCGCCAGACCCCCAATTCTATCCCCGCATTTCTCTGCCTGCCACTCCCAGGGCACTCGCGACAGAGTCGCCAGAAGCTCGGGACCCCTAGCCAATACCGTAGATGCGAACGCTGCGTCGAGCAACTGTCTGAGATGCGCAGCTACACCCCCAGGCGGGCGCATTTTGGCGCAGGGTCCGTGAGCTGCGTTGATACAACAGCCATTGCGAGCCCAGGATGGATCGCTAAAAGCTCCGGCGCGCAACGAAGTCCGTCGTCGTCGTCGGCGGCGCACTTGGGGTCCTCGTACTTATCGTTGATGTACTTGTTGATGTAGGTGCGCAACTTCCTCGTCACCGGCCTTGGTGGGTGGGCTGGCGTTGCCCCAACGGGCCCGAAAGTGACATCGCCTGCCGTGGTGGTCGGGAATTTGCGCACGAAGGCGAGACCAAGACCGAATGTATAACGGGGTGACCAGCGGGGTGAGGAGTTGGATGAAGAGCAACGGAGGGCGGATCCCGATGCCATCGAAGCGCGGCGAGACATGGGAGGCCGTAGTATTGGAGCCGAAGCCCCGCTACCAACTATAGAGATGGATGGCCAGGTGAATGTCAAAGATGATATATTTCTGGAGAGCGGCAAAAACGCGTCCAATGGCGGGCGTGACAAAGAAGCTTCCTGCAAACGGCGGCGGAAGCAGGAAAGCAGCGGCACAAAAAAGGATGGTGTGAGAAAAATGGGACGATCGTTCGGCTAGGAACGAGAGGAGGCAAGGGGCGAGGAAGGGAAACACGAGAAGGAGGAGAACAACTGACGAATGAGCGGGGGAGCCGAAACATCAGAAGCAGGCGCAGCAAGACCACAACCGCCACCCTTACCTCTATCGCGACAAGCTCTATCGTTCCCTCCCATTCCTTTCACCCACCCCCTGCCCCTCTGCCCCTTCCGTTCACATGCACGATACTATTCCCTCTCGCCCTGTCCCTCCTGCACCATTCTCGTTTTCGGCATACTTGGCGCCATTTCGTGGAAGCGCCAGGAGCGTCTGGAGGGCGGTCAGGGCATCTCGCCTGGGACACGATGACGATACTGTACCAAGGAGGCTTCAGATCCTGCAACATTCCGCTCATGAAAGCGGCGGTGACATCCACGGCCGAGCCTCAGTTGGTGGTTCACTGGCTTCCAGACCCAGGTTTTCTTAATATTAAAAGAACATCACCGCATATGGTTCAGACCCAGGAGATCTTGGATGTTCAACAGTTACACGCATGGAGGGCAGGACGTTTACAAAACTCGTCTGTCGCCTTGACATCGTACGCATTCGCCTCAAACGCTTCCAGCTTTGACGCGGACCAGGGGGGGCCCTCTGCTGATTGCGGCTGTCACACATGCACCTCGTCACTTCGTCTTGGAGGCTTCCCAAAGCTACACTGACAGATGGCGATGCCTTTCAAAATGACGCTCGCGCCTGAGACGTCCTCAATTCATACGATCATACACCTGACCACCTCTAACAGTTCCACGGACGCGGCTCGGCCGCACATGTTGAAAGCTCCCAAATTCGCGCATGGGGAGGGCGGCCGATCCTCAACATCTGCAACCTAGAGCTGTGAAGTCCCACCATCAGACATGAAAAGCATGGCGGCGGGCCTATTTCTATACAGACGTCAAACTTGCCTGAGATGTGATGATCGCGGCGTGAAGCTTCCAACGGGTGCACGGAAAGAGGGCGGCTCGTCAGGACCGGGCCCTCGCTCCAGCGCCGCGCACGCGTGCCTTAGAGGTGTTGCCAGCGCCGAAGACGACTCCCTCTCCAGATCACTGCGCCCTGCAACACTGGGCGGTCAGAGCGTGATCTGATCGCCGGCGCGCGCCTCAAAGCAGACAAGGGGCTCCCACCTTGCAGGCCGCACGGCCTGCTCACCGTTCCGAGGTGCTCGCCGCACTGGGGCGACGTGTCCGTGCACTAACCGGTGGGGGTGCGACCCGGGGCGGGAGGGCGCGCAGCAGCGTCAGCGGCGCGCGCTTGTTTTTACGCGCATTCTCCTCTGCATCCCTCTCCCACCCCTCCCTCCCGTCTGGATGCTGCTTTGTGCGAGACACACACAATTTCAAAACTTGTTTCGTCCTTTCTGTGATTGTTCCATCGTGCCCTTTCTGGTCCTTCAAGCATGGTGCTCCCGTTGCAGCGCTGGCCGCATTTCAGGATCGTCGTATTGCTCTCGTCGTTCAGATTTACGCTCTCGACCCAGCACGAGCCAAGTTTGTGGATCCGATTCGATGCTCCTCGTCGTTGCCGTTCCCATCCTTTTCCCTCCCCCGTCTTCCCCTGGTCCTCTTCCTCCTCCGCCTCCTCCTCCTCCTCCTCCACCTCCTCCTCCTCCCACTCCTCCTACTCCTACTCCTACTCCTACTCGTACTCGTACTCCTCCTCCTCGTCCTCCTCCTCCTCCTCCTCCTCATCATCATCATCATCATCATCATCATCATCATCATCATCATCATCATCATCATCCTCGACCTGGTGCTGCTCCTCCTCCCCGTCTCCTCCTCCTCCTCCTCCTCCTCCTCCTCCTCCTCCTCCTCCTCCTCCTCCTCCTGACAAGGCCAGAAGAGCGGTTCGTTCATTATAAGTCAGTAAGTAACCGACACAGTTGCAGTATCCGTAACTCAGTAACTCCTCCTCCCTCCTCCTCCTCCTCCTCTCCTCCTCCTCCTCCTCCTCCTCCCCTCCTCCTCCTCCTCCTCCTCCTCCTCCTCCTCCTCCTCCTCCTCCATCTCCTCCCTTTCCTCCATCTCCTCCTCCTCCTCCTCCTCTCTCCTCCTCCTCCTCCTCCTCGTCCTCCCTCCCTCCTCCTCCTCCTCCTCCTCCTCCTCCTCCTCCTCCTTTTCCTCTCCCTCCTTTTCCTATTTCTCCTCCTCCTCTCCTCCTCCTTCCTCCTCCTCCTCCTCCTCCTCCTCCTCCTCCTCCTCCTCCTCTCCTCCTCCTCCTCCTCCTCCTCCTCCTCCTCCTCCTCCTCCTCCTCCTCCTCCTCCTTCACCTCCGTCCTCATTATCATCCTGTGCATCTACCTGCTGATCCGCGTGCTCATTCACCGCATCCTCCTCGTCCAATGTATAGAATCCCATTGTGAGCATCACACGATGGTGTCACTTGGGAGGTCAAGGTGGACACCCGAGCTGGCGGACAGCAAACGATTCAGCGCAATGGGAAGGGATGGGCGCGAGGGGCAGGACGTCAGGTACGGCGCGAGCATCCCCAGCCTGACCACCCCAACACCCTCTCCTCCTCCCTTCTCCTCCAGCCCTCCTTCTTCCTCCTCCTCCCTTCCCTCCTCTTCTAGTCCCTCTCTCCCGTTTCCCCTCCACAGACATCCGGCCGCTCCAATTTTTCCGATGCGCGGGCCCTGGAGGTCCAGACCACTGCGGAAATGGTCTGGGGAATCCCTGGGGCCGGTTTTTCATCCTGGGTCGTTCTTCGACGCTCCCGAGGCCCGGCTGAGGCATCTGGAGGCCGAAACCTGCTAAAATTCCGCCGCTCCAATTTGGGGGAGCATCGGACCTCTGGGTCCCTCCCTCGACGCCCCCGCCCCCCCCCCCCCCCACGCACCTCCCCCGAGGCTC